TTATATCATATTATTAATTTTAAATTTTAATTTTATTTATCATTATTTTTTTAATATTTATCACTGCTTCTCCATTATTCCTTAAGTATGAATAAGAATTTTGAATTCTTAATTTTGTTTTACTTCTATTATTTTATTTCTTTTACTTTTGGATTACAATATTTTAAATTAATTTTATTTTCATATCATATAATTTAAATTTAAAATTTTTTATTTCTATGAAAAAATTGTTATTAAACTTCTTTTATTTTTACTATTTTAATTAACACATGAATCACTCGTAATTTGTTAGGCTTATAATCAATCTTAGTGTTAAATCTCCAGTTTAAGAGGTTTTTTTTAAAAAAAAAAATTTCTAAATAACCCTTAGTTTAAGGAGTAACTTATAACAATAAATCGAATTTGTTAAGGCAATTGGGGGGGGGGGGGTAAAATTGAGAATCAAACTGATTAAATCAATCAATTAATTTATAATTATAGTAATTGAAACCCAATTCAATTTAATTGATTTAATTGAATATAGATCACGGGTATATAAACCAAACACACGACGAAAACTAATGATCTGTTGGTTTAAGTGGAAGGAGTTTGACTTCTTTTAAATAAAATTTTGAGTTAAAATATTGTGAATGAAGAAACAATACCTGGAAGAGTTTACTAACGAGGGGTTGGATCAAGTAGCAAGCGGCTTGTTCCAACTTAAGTAAGATCTCGAGTTCGAGACCTTATGTACGCAGCAGCTTTCGTTGGGAGACCCACCCACCATTCTGGTGCACCACAGCTGGTCGAGTCCGGAGTAGTCGGGACAAAGTCCTGGATACCGGGCGGGAAACCAAAAAAAAAAAAAAATAGCTGGAAGAGTTTTCTTTTAATAGGTTCTGATATGATTCGATTTCAAATTAATTGAAATCTGACGTGATTATCAAATACCGAAAGATTATTAATAATAATAATAATAAAAAACACAAGACGGAAAACTCAAAGACTAAAACCCTCCAATTTAGAGTTTGGAGAAAGAGGGAAAGCAATCTGGTACACAAAGAAGAAAAAGACGGGACGGAGGGGCGGTTTTGGGTCTTGTTAGCAATAGTAACGTCAATTGAGCAAGACAAAAAACACAACACCCAATCCGGACCAATAATACACGGATAGATACAAGACACAGCAAAAGCAGTTTTCACCCCCCTCCTCCCAAAAAAAAAAAAAAAAAAAAAAAAGGGG